ACAATAAGACATTGTGTTAGACAGGTTAAAATCTTCAATTTACTTTAAAAGCCAATTAAAATGATTCAATATCAGTGACAAAGCCTTCATTTGTCACCACATCAATCAAACCTAAAGAGTTTTTTACACGCCTCCGCTGGGAACTGCTTCTCTTTGAGTTTATAATTCTCCTTGCCATCACTCTGGTCTTCACTTCTCTTTATAGATTCTCGATGGGATTCAGGTTTGGACTCCAACATGCTGGTATTGCTTTCTTTTTAATGCTTTTTCGACCGCTTTGGCTGTGTGTATAAGACTATTGCCTGCAGGCAGTCTAACGTTTTCCTCCAGAATCATAATGTTATCCTCTTTTAACACAATGTCATTTGCATCAACAAGGTTGTCTGGCCTGTTTGCTGAAAAATAACCCCAAAGCTTTACATTCCCAACAGCTGTGGAGGTGTTGCTCTTGGGGTTGAATGTTTCCCCTTTCTTTCCTCAAAGGAAAAGTTTCTGTGTCCAAACAACTCCCAACGGCCTCAGAGCTGATCACCAAACGCTTCCTTCTTTGTCGAGGTGAACTTTCTTGTGCCTGTCTGAGAAGTGAAGTCCTCTTTGGTGACTGTCCATGGACACTGGCCTTTTGTAGCTTTCGCTCAGTTGTCTGCCTTGAGATGCTGGTACCAGAACTGCTCAGATTCACTAGAATGGATCTGATTGTGACCCTTGGATTCTTCTTGGCCTCTCATACTACCACCCTTTCCAGTTCAGGCATCAGTTTTGGGTTCCACGTCCTTCATATTGTTCACAGTGTGGAACTCCTTGTACTTTTTGATTACGCATTGTGCTGTGACCATTGGCACTTGAAAACACGTGGATACGACTGTATAGACTTTCATCTGTCTTGTGAGCAGCCACAATGCGGGACTCTCTCAGTGATGGATCCATAATTACAAGATCACTAAGCTCTTTGCTTTTAGCCATGGCTCGCATTTAATCAGTAACTGACTGGAGAGCCACTGCATCAGGTGTGCTCAGTTGTTAGTGTATTTGAATGCTTTAGAACATGGTAGAAATTGCAAGGACCATTTGAAATGTACAAAAGCTTGCACTTTGTCAAAAGAATAGTGATAATGTCACAAGGACATAGCATTTTTAGAAAAAAAGGTTTAAAAAAACATAGAAATTGTTAAAATATATCCTTAATATCGCTAACACACTGTCTTTTGTCACTTGTTTATTCCATTTCCAGCAAGAAGAAACCTTCTGATCAAGTAAAAAATCATGATAAATCAAAAACTGGTGTAAGTATAAATAATTCTGGGCATGATATGTGCATTGTTAAGAAATGGTTAATGAAACAAACACTGCAGTCGTCCAGGTTTTGTCTGAGGCTTGTGTCGATTAACAAAACATTCATAACTTCCACATTTAACCTTAACTGGCCACATGTTTTTTTTTCTTTCTGTGTGAGCTCACCTTCAGCAAAATGCTCCGTGTGCCAGAGGCCACAGATATTGAACTCCAGGAGAAACCTTGCGAAGGAGAGGGAAGAGGAGAGTGGACACAGAGAAGGAGTCAATTAGGTGGCTGTAATTATAGACCAAAGCAGATTGCAAGCAGATTGTACGCAGCTTTCAAAAACTGGGCCAGGACCCAAACTTGTGTCATGGGAATAAAGAAAATGGGTCCTCAAGTTATTCAGCAGTAATTGGTAGCTTTGGTATTTTCCTAACTGCATCACCAGACTGTTCCTTTTTAAATGAAGCTGCTGGATGTATTCACTGACTTCATCCTTACCAAGTCAGTGGAATCAAAAAATGCAGGTGATTTTCTAAATAAAAGCTCTCAACTCAACTTCATTTGTTTCATTTTTAGTCTGTTTTTATAAAATCCATCAGTATTGAATTATTTTCTTGCCGAGCATTAAACGAGAAGATCAACACCACCGTGGTGTCTGTATAGTAAATATGAATGTATTGTCTGCAGCTTAGTTGATGAAAACAGGTGGAAACAGCTAATCTGGCTTTGTTCAAAGGTATAAAACCTCCACCTACTCGCATTTCCAAAGCTCACTAATTAACATGACACATCTTGTTTGTTTAATCCATTAAAATGACTTAATTAATCATTTTTTAGTTTTTTTTTTTTTTTCTAAAATAACATCTTGGGATTTGCTGTGTGTGTACTATCAGTGTTGCCATCCAAGAAACAAAATTCCCTGAAAATAAACAGAATTTACAGCAGCAAATTTTTTTAACTATTTTATTTTGGATACGCTGCAACAAAAAAAACTAGACCAGCCAACTCTGGTTGCCCCTAGCAACACACTTACAGTAGGAAGTTGGAGAGGAACCACTTGAGGGTTGAGGCCAAACCATAGAAGGGCTGAAGAGATAGATGGACAGAATATATTCATTTCAGACTTTTCCAGGACCTTTATGGGAATATGACTTTATGCAGTGTGAGTTTATGGTACATACACTGAGAAGTGGACGGGCGCTGCTGACAGAGTGCAAGTTGATCTTACACATGGCCTGGTAGTCGAACAAGGATACCCTGAGGAGACAAGCCCACACACACACACACAAAGCAAATAGTGTTGCTCTTCTGTCAGGATTTCGCTGACTTACATTGATTCCTTGACCCCCTCCAGACTACCACACACAGTGCTGCATGACTGAGCTTAACCTTTACAGAAACCCTGATAGCTAACTCAACTTAGAAAAGAGAGAGAAAAAAAAAAGATCATCTCACTGCCAGAATAGCTTTTCAGAGATGGGATTGACCAAGATTCTTATTTTTGTTTTTTTCTAATCTGTGAATATGTGGCGCTTTTGCAGGTAGGACACACAAAAAAAAAATATGCACACAAATTACAGATGTGCGCATATGCAGATTGAAACATACACACATTGCCACTGGAGTCCATGCATGCTCAGAACCAGTTATGTAATATCCTGTGTCAAATGAAGCATGACGAAATCTTTTAGCTGTTTAAAAATAGCACATCACTCAAGAGATTTCAAACATAAAAGACGGGCAAAAACTAAGAGGGGGGAGAAGAAAAAAAAAATCCAGAGCTGTCAAATAAGCTCAAAGTGCAGCAAAAACAGGGAAGTAGCTATATGACAAACACCAAGATGGCTGAATGAACTGCTCTTAATAAACGACACAGAGCAGATATGAGCATCATATGGCGTATACGTGCATTGATATAGATACTAATGCATGGTGGTTAAGAAGCAAAATGAAAATAGGAAACATTTACACCTCCTGATTAAGACGATAGCCTGCTGTCTGCGACACAGCGTGAGGTGACGCATTCACGAGCGTGATTCAAATGCACAGTTTTCTGAGACACAAAGACAACATAAGATGGCACTTCACACTGCAGAGTGAGCGCCGAGGATCCCGTCAGAATCAGGTAACCTCTTGTCCTTTTGTAACAGGCAGACGAAGGAGAAAACAGAAACACAACTATCTTGTCAGCCAGGTGTTACCTTTTGAACATGCCCATTCGGATCAGCGTGGTCATCACTGATCCGTCAACCTCGCCGAAGAACCTCCCCGCCTATCGGGAGAGACAAAGGAAATATAAACACTGCAAGACAATCAGTGCGTCTGAACGTATCAGTGTCAGGTCCCTTCTGTGATGTTCATTCTTAACCCTTTAACCTCAGAGTGAACTGTGCGATCAATTATTCATTAATGTTACACCGTGTGATGGTTTTCTAGCGACATATGTTGCCAAGAGGTTCACATTCTATAGCCACTACTTCATTACATGCACAGTTGTAAGAAAAATATTAACATTTTTGGATTTAGATAAACGTTTAAAGTTGTAAATATTGTTTTAATGAGCTGTGCTGACAGAGCAATGTTGGTGATTGCATCAACTTAACATTGTGAGTAGATTAAAATTCTTATTTTTAGTGATTTTAAACTAAACTCAGCTTGTAATAAAAAAATAAATAAAAATTTTTCTTCATCATGAATTCAAGATTGCAAGTCCCTTCTCCTACCCATTTAATATGCCTGGAAAATAGCTTAGACTGTTTGTTAAAGAACTAGAAAATATTGCACAAAGGACATTTCAAGGTGAGTATCATTTCTATTAGAAATGAAATTCTTCGAAAGCAATGTGTCTACAAGTAGGTGACTTGCATAAAGAGGTGCTGATGCAGCTGATGGAAAATGTTGTACTGTTGTATGGAAGTAAATCAGTCATATTTAGCAGTACGCTTTGGCCATTCTGCTCTTTAATAATCATAGCAGTGGATAACAATGATAACATGTCAGGATTTTATGATTTAACTTTTGCTTTTTTGTGTAACTGTCAACCATCAAGTCTTTGTCAAGCCTGACATCTGCTTTTAAAAATTGTTAGAACTTGCTTTAACAGGTTTCCTGTCTTATTGTCTTTGGTGCCAATTGAGCTCTATGGAAAATCAATTCACTTGAAGCAAAAAAACAAAGAATTTTTAACCGCTGTATGTCAGAGTTCACACAGATGTAGCGGTTGTTCCTCTTCAGCTAATGTGCAGGATGGGTCATTTTCTACAATGTTGAATTCTTCCATTTACGTGTTCTACAGATAAATGAAGAATTCAAGAGAATATCTATTGTAATAGATTCAAACTTGACCATCGCACTACAAAACTAATGTCTTTATAAAGGTGAGAAGCTACAGGAGGGAGAATCGAGCTTAAATGATTGCCAACTTAAAAACTTACTACTGTTCATAAGTTTGGTAATTAGGTACATGACATTTGAAAAATCTTTTTAAATAATGTGGAAAAACGAGGTGAAGCGGTTTAATTTTTATTAGTAATCAGCATCTTGCTGAGTTAATCAGCACACGCCTCCCAACCAACCAGGGAAAACTTGTATAACCGCTTAAACAAAGTAAACAAGAGTATTTCCTAAAATCAGGCATTAACACTATTATATGATTTTATTCAAACCTTGAAAACACATATGGACATATTATAAGAGCCTGCACCTCATCAAAACCGTATCGGGTGTAAAAGATTTGCATCTGTTGAGAATATATCCCTTGTTCATGAGCTTCTGCCGGGTCAAATTTAATAAAATTAAAAATACTAAAAAAAGCCTTGTTTAGTACTGTTGTTAAGTTTAGTACTTGCTTCCAGCTCTGCAACTTAATGTGGACGTTTAAAAAGCAAAATAAAATGAAACCAGAGGACAAAAACAAAAAAACCGACCGAGCCCATTGCTGTGCTGCTTATGTTTTGTTGTGTTACGTAAGTGTCAGCTGGGATCTGCCGTCCCTTTTACCTCCCTGTTGTACTACTTACACAGCGGTGATTCACTACCACTGACTCATTTTACTGCTTAACACTGCTTATTATTGATAGCAACTGTGGGGAATGAAGCTGAACTTTGAAAATGCAAATATGTAAAATGTAATAATTGCGACATCACTTCAGGAAGTTGGGCGAAAACAAAATATTCGAAATGTATTTTTTAAACTTTAAAAAGACGGACCCTGGAGGCATAAAAGTCCTTCTGAACTTTAGCGATGGAGTGACCTCGTGTGTAAGCGAGTAGAGAAGCAGAAATAGGATTCAAGAGGTTTGCGAGTCTTATTGAAAACGGAGTTAGACACAGTGTCCTTGCTGCAGACTGGAAAGCTGCTGGTTGACAGAATAAGAGGGAGAAACTCTGGAAGGAAATCGCACATCACTACATAGATACATACAGATATAAATAGTGTAGTATGAATGTATTTCTAAATAATACACAGAGGCTTGTTTGGGGCTGTTCCTCTGTTTCTTCTCTGATGAATATTGATAGGTGGAAGAGCTCTCGAACAATCAAGTCAAAGACGGAAAAAAAACAACACTCCAGCTGTATTCTCAGTGTGATTGCGTGTGTGAGCTCACATCATTGCGCTGTTTAGAAATTAGGACAAAGCCATTATTGTCAATCACGTAGCAGTCGATATCCTGATATGAAAGAAAGAGAGAGAGAGAGAAACCAATTACTTATGTAAAGGAAAGATCTGTGTCAAACCCCACAAAGAGAACACAGACAGCTCAATGGTTTATATAATTCAATGCATGTATTATGAAGTCAGTTTCTTGCTTCAGTGGTTTCATATGCGAACAAAAAGATATTTGCTGAACTTTGTGGAGCTTGACTAATAAAACAATTTATAGTAAAAGCATGCTAGTTTGATTAATATGGCAGAGATATACTCACGATGCTGTCACAGCGAAGAGGACAGATCCCTTCCACGGATGAGCACTGGAGGAATAATTTCACTGTTAACGAGCTGAGAAAGACTTTTTTCACTGACAACATGCAGGTGAAAGTGCTGATGAGGGATGTGATAGGTATTGTTAGAGAAGGGCACGTTTGTGTATGTGAGGACGTGGTTTAAACACATGCTCTGTCTGCGAAAGTGTGAACCTGCAGCCAGTGTTGACAAGCGCATCTGTACGAGTGCGAAGAAATGTGTTGGCGAGAGATTGCTAATTTGCGCGAGATGTGTCGCGTCTACCTGGAACTTGTTTGCGAGTTTGCGCGAGTTTGATTTGCGCTTGTCTTTGAGCGCGTGTGTTCTGTTTTAACTGAGGTGTGAAGCCAACTTCACAGAACTCGGCAGGTGCTGAAGACGGTGAATTTGGTTTGTTGAGTGATGTTTTGAAAAATGAGGAGAGGGGAAATTATGCATACTCACATCCGTGTCGTTTGGCTGAGAAGACACAAAGACAGCAGCAAAGAGAGACAAAAACAAAAAAAAGGAGAGCATGAAGAAAAGGGAAGTATTACTGCAGTTAATGATGCGTAAGTCGATGCATTGACTTACACTGTCTCTGCTGCTGTTAGTTTACTGTTGAAAAAAAGCCACAAATCTTCTGCTCAAAGTTTTAAAATGGAATATAGATTTTCTTTTTCTCCTGAGCAGTTTTTCAATCACACACTTGAACAATTTCAACAAACATTTCCAGTTCTTTCTTCCATCAAAAGTATACATTTCCGACATACCAGCCTATGCAGGTGAACACAAACCTGCAACCTGACGAACAAAATGTGACAGTATTCGTCATGATATCAAACTTTTTCGTCCATCAGCACACTCTGTCCCTCAGCTCCTCCTGTTCCTCCATCTGTGAACTGGTCATAAGTCAAAATGTCGATAATTTCTCTGACTTTATGGTCCCGTTTTATGGTCGCAGTGTATGTAGGTGTCTATGGACAATACGTCTTTGGGATCACGGTCAGGCTAAATAGAGCATGTCCAAGTGTGAATGAGACAATCTATCATCCTTTTCAATCCCATTACAGCAAAGTGTCAGTCTTTCCCTCTGCTTCCCATCGCTGCCTCCTGAAATAAACTACAATTCAGTGGACCGATGGGAAAGACGAGGCTTCCACACACACACACACACATGCACACACACACCACATGCAAATAGTCTGATTTGACAAAATTTGACTGCTAATTAAAGCGAATCATAAAACCCTGCTAATGATTCCAAAAAGGCACAATATTCATTCACTGTATCAAACAGCTATGAAAATTCTTGTAGCTTCACTAAACTTTGGGCTAAAATTGTAGATTTGTTCCTGATGGTGGCACAAGAAGAGAAAAGTGTGGGATCAATAAATCAAAAATCTTCTTGGCAGCATCAATTTGTTCAACAAATTAACTGGAAAAGTGCTCATTAGGTAATGTAATTTGTGGACATGATAGATCTTGCGGTTGAATGAAAGTGGAAAAATTGAATCTATGAGTAAATGTGTAAATTTAATAGGAAAGCAACTGTTTTATTATATATTTTTGGTCTATAAATGGAAAATTTCACAATCTGGTAATCACAAAAACATCAGCTTCTGCTCATTTAAGATGGGGTGATGTGTGGTCATTAACATCTGCAATCCTGTTAATGAATTAAAATCAAAACTGTTTTGGAGCCTGTCTTTGTTTTTCTTATTTATGTGCAGCACGTTTTCGGTCTTTTCTATAACTAACACTTTGTTCCTCCAGCTTCTCGTGAACCAGCTTTCTAAATCTGAGCAGCGGACGAGAAGCTGTTTTCTCAGATTCGGTGTCGGTGACGTGTCTCGTCGTGAAACTCCAGAAGTCAAGCTGATAGCGAGAGCATCAATTACCACTTTCCATCCCTGAACTTCAACTCAACACATTCTCTGTGATAATCTTACTGAACGTTCAATGAAGTTTCAAGTGAGAAGCACACAAACATTTTACCATTTTATACCATCCTAGATTAAGTTTGTGGACTCAGATGCTATAAATTAAGAAAGATTATATTATATAAATACATTTTGAACCATAAAATCGTCTATCTTGCACGGGGCGGAGAGAAAAGTAAAATGATGTGTGTGTGTGTGTGTAACTGAACTAACAAACCTGAATGTCATATTTCCGTTGTTCCTTTTTCATACAATCTGCACCTCAACTTAATATATGTGGTTTTTGGAGGTTGATATTTTTTGTACTTTGATATTTGTTTATTGATTACCTTTTATGTATCTTTTTATTCTTTATTTTACTCTTATTATATTCATATCTTTATTTTTCGGTGAGAAACTTGCATGTAATGAAAAAGAATTTCCCCTCAGGGATAAATAAAGTCTTTCTGATTCTGATTGTTGCGATGCAGTGCAATCACAAACATAGAAACAGAGTTGAAAGAATACGGGATAACAGAGAAAGGGAGAACAGCTGAGTGTTCTTTGTGAGATAAAGCGCATGCCAAGGTGTGAATGGCAAAAAAATCTATCATCTTTTGATTCCAATTACTATCAGCTCACTGCTCTGCGCTCGCTGTCTGACAAAAATATAGCAGCGATGAACTGTGAGAGACATATGGGGCCTTATACCGTGGGATTCACACCGTATCATTACAAAATTAGATTTTTCAGATTTAAGTCTTTTTTTTAATAGTCTTTTTTTTTTAATCCCTTCCCATTTACACTTGTTTCGCTCTCTTTCACTGTCTCCAACAGATACGTAAGTGTTGAACACCCTGGATGGAGGCAGCAGACGGAGCACAATGTGCTGCGCGGTGACGTCAGGAGAGTTTCCTATTAACATCCTGACCGATTCCCATTAGATGGCGGTTCATGCTTTATTCTTACCCTGACTAATTCATAATTCATCCTCTAATAACTTCTTATTTTAACGTAGTCAACCTTAAAGGGCAACTATAATGTCAGAGCGGCTCTACTTATGTAACCCTCCCACTGAGATGTACAGAATTTGTGCAGGGACTTCTTTGCATTAATAATATCTCACAAACAGATAAAGATTAAGAAAAGTTGATGCTATTTGCAACTAAAACAACCCAAATGTGAGTGAACTCTATTTATCTTAACCAGCTACTGATGAAGTAGGACACAAATGAGGGAATAAACAAATCCTGCTTGTGCCTAAACCCTCTGGACCAATAAAGGCCTTTTTGATAGATGGCTGGTGCTGTCATGTGATCTGTTATTGTACGTCCTCCTGATGATCCGTCTTTCATTCAGGATGTACAGTAGGTGCAGCATCTTCAGCCCTGAGGGAGCTGAAGGCTTAAAATAGACTAAAGAGAGGATTCCATGCACACACACACACACACACACACACACACACACACACATATATATAGAGAGAGATTGATATGCGTGTACAGTCAAAACAAGCACATACTGTGAGTCCACGCACACACAAAACACTCTGAAATAAAGATCAAGTGCATGACGTAAAGATAAGATGATTACGTAAGCCATCGTAAGAGAAGGGAGAGAGGGCGGAGGAGAGGAGATGAGGAAAGGAGGAGACAGTGTATGAAAACTGAAGGGAAATCCTGGAAAACATTGACAAGGAAAAGGTGAAAAAACTAGGAATTTAAGCAGGAGTCTGAGTCAAAAGAGCTCACAGTGAATGACTTTGTATGCGGCATTAATCTAGAGGATAACAAGTCCACTGGCGATGATGCTAATGAGCTCCTAGCTGATGAATGTGGACATAACAACACACGTGTGCACAGATGGTCGTGCATATGGTCCCAGTCAACGTTACCAGCCATGTACGCAGCACTTTTCAAGCATCCACGGATACATACATACAGCCACGTGCCCACACTCGGGAGCTGCCGAGCCTCGCTGCGGCAGCTATCCATCACCTAATGGCCAGCCGGCAGCCTTAACGCTCTTTTAACTGCTGTCATTTACAGCCATGGGAGCAGAGGAGGAGAAGGGGGCCGGGTTATCAAACACCTGCGACAGCAAAAGTGTTCCGCAAAATTAAGCAAGTTTTCCCTCAATACAATGTTTTGTTGAAGGTGTGAAAAACCCCCATAGGATACTAAGATCCTTCACTGAATCCAGAGGTGATTCTCTGCACAGCATACCAAACAGGCACGGGTGAGAACAATTCCAGTGATGACATTTAAATCTTTCATTACAGTGTTTTAGGGTGGGTAAGCACTCTTTTAATGGTGGGAGCAGTGATACGGAAAACACTGCACGAAGCTTTGAATTAAACAATGTTTAAATGCTGTAATTACCGACTAATGGAGCTGAAAAAGAACCTATAATCATCTTTGACTCCTTGCCGCACTGTAAAATATGGTGTCAGAGTGGCCTGCTAGCTTAAAGAGGTACTGCTGAAACTCCCAAAGCAGACTTTGTATTCATCAGCAGCTATATTTCATATTTATAAAAGATAATTGAACAGCTTCATGTTCACTGACAGGACTTTTGTGAATCGGGGTAGTTGGTTAATGCTTAGAAAGCGAGTGTGAAATTTTAATGTCAAATCGGAAACACCGCATTGAAATCAAAGACTCAGAAGTCGGAGGACTCCTTTCATCTGACGGAAAAATAAACTATTCAAGGCAGCAGCCTGGTAAGAATTAAATCTGACAAAATCTGAAACTTCCTCTGGATTGGATGTGGAACCAAAGACGCTCATAATTTCAGACACAGAGGAAATAAAGACGGGGTTATTATTCGGGGGAGAGAAGTGCAAACTGATGATTGTGTCATTTGTATTCCACAAGCACTGTTCAATATAACTGCTGCAATTATAAATAGATCAGAAGTTTCTCACTGGTACCAGTTCAGTACAACAAGGAACCAACCAGTTCAGTCTTTTATAGGGGCAACAAATCCAATGCTACAACATTATAAATCTAATAAAACATGTCGTGAAAAAAATGTAAATATTTTGGGATTATATATGCTTAACTTGATAAAGGCAATGTACTGTGGTGAATTAATTAAGGATGCTATTGTGTAAAACGATTGGTAACTGTGTAAAATCATACTCACTGCTGGTAAAAAAAAAAAAAAAGAAAGAAATTAAGAAGTACTGGTATTAATCTGAATCTCTGAGTCTTAAACAACAGATGGACACAGCGAGGGAAATATTTGTTATAAGGATGACTGTCATGCTAAGCTGTGGACATCTGGGTTGAAACCAGACGTTTACATACATTCAGACTTTGAAAAAAGTAGCAATAAAAAAATTCAAAAAAATTCCCTCTCTTATTATTCTGGCATTTAGCAAATAGTAATAATTTTGGTCATTTTAGAGTGACCTAAAACAGGAAAAGTTTAGCCTGATTTAATGTCGGACATTGAGAAAAAAAAGGCTATGTGTCTTTTCATACACTGTATGTAAACTTCCGGATTAATATAAATATATGTATATATAGCTTCCGTTTGTTAGTTTTGTAATACATTGAAATCCAATACATCAAAAGTTTATTAAAAAATATCCAACATGGAAGCAATTATGCAGTAATTACAGGGTTTAATTCCTATACAATGAATATTGACGACCTACATTGATTAAACATTAAAAGATATTTACTGCTAGAAACTAAATGAAACTGATAAATAAGCACACAGTTGAAAACAGTTGACTTGATCTCTGTTATGATCAAGAGTGTGTCCAACCCTGAGTTGTTCTTTATTCAAACCTTTATCAACATCATAGATCTATTTTTAAAATCCAACTCTTCACAACCTCTCTTGTTACTTGTTTCAGGACAATTACTGAGATTCTCAATGAACACCGTAGACCTACCTGTGCTGCGATGGCCCAAAATCTGGACTCCATCAACCCCAGAGTCATCTGGACCCCAATGGCTGCAGAAAGAAAAAGAGACACATCAGTGAAGTAGAATAAAATGTACATAACCTAACATTTCTCTTTAATGTTAAGCAGCACTGTAATGTTGCAATAAAACACCAGTAAGATCAGTGGCAATATATAGATTGCATTAGTGGCAGCTGCAGTGATAGGCACAGCTGCCACTGCTGCGATAACACTTTCAGTTTAAGCAGTGATGGCTTTCGCAGCAAAAGTAGCCCTGCTGCTAGCCAAAAGAAAGGGACGCTTTAATCGAGCACTTTAGAAGAAAGAACATTAATGAGGCGATTAATGTCCCAAAGTGGGAGACTGTATCTCTCTCTTGACTCTGAGGCTGGAGGAGTGGAAGAGGACCTGCTGTACAGATCAGCTCTGCCTTCAGAACTCAACTTATGAAAATCCTTTTACAGTAACTGGCCTTCTGAGCTTCGCCAGCGCTGTGTGAACCGCCTATTCTTAGACAGTGTGTGTGTGTGTGTGTGTGTGTGTATCCAAACTCTACAACATAGCACTCTCAGTCACAAAACATTAAGCCTCGAATTAGTGTGTGTTTGCACATGTATATCCCACATGCGCACACACACACACACACACGGCGGCGGAGTGATTGCTTATGTCAGCTTAGGGCTGTATGTCTGTCAGCATTTTAGTCGGCGTGGTAATGCGAAAAGGAACTGTAATTGCATAAGTTCTCAGTGCACACATACTGTATACACCCACACACACACACACACACACACAACAAATACACACACTCTGCGAGGGAAGATATGACACTTCATATTAGCATCAAAGACTCAGCGTTTTTTTTTTTTCTTCTTTTCTCCAGCGTGCTTTGTACAGCCACTCAGGGAAAGCCTCCGCGGTGCTCACAAAACACATAAAAACACACATATGCCTGCACAAGCTCACCTTCCCTTCACAAATCCTCACACATACATGCACGCAGCATGACAGCATTTATGCATTTATTAATCTAGAAACAAATATAAATTTGAAAGCGTGTATTATACATGCAAAATCATTTAATAAAACACACTTCAGTGGTATCAGAAAGACATCAGCGTCCTCTGGATGGCCTTGCAAGTCCACGTCGCTGCATTACAGAAAATTGAAAGCCGTTTTTTCCCCCCCTTTAGGCCACGATTGTTTCCATTCATTTCCATCTGAAATTCAATTAGCATGAAAATGGTTTGAGTTGTGTAATCTGTCATAGTAAACATCAAGAATGCATCAGTTTTTGTGCTGCTGTGAGGCAGCAGGAATGACTCTAATCCAATGGCTGTCTAAAGTTGTGGTCAGATGCCTGAACATAACTCTCAATTATTCTCGCAAAATGCTATTAGGCGATGAATTATGGATTGCCGGGGTTAAGAATAAACCGTGAGCTGCATGTTCCGATGGAAATATTCACATTTTAAGTATAAGAATCTAATATATTCTGGTTTGTGTGTAGTTGTTTTTTCTCTTGTGTGTCACAGATTTTATCCAACCTGTTCATTAAAGAGGACTTTGTGGAATTTATTAAGCATGTTTTGTTATTTGAAAGTACAAGCACAAGTTTTGTTAATTTCAAGCTAATTCAAGTTAAAAAATTAAGGTTTTAATTGAAGAATTTTAGAATTTAGAAACACTAGTTGTCCAGTTTGAAGTCTTCTGTTAAAATGATGAGTTGAATTAATCAGCTGTGAGTTTAATCAGTTTAAACTAGAAACTAGCTGGATTTCTCACCATGCATTGTTTAAAAAAAATGATTGAATTTAGTCCCAAAGTTACTTCAAATTCATTTTAATATGAAGTAATGTTGTCCTACATACGGTTTTAACGCATACAGCTGATAATCTTTGTCAAATAAAGACTTAATCTTTAAAAGGAAAGCCAGTCTTTCTGTAGAGATTGTCTGACAGACGATCTCTGTTTATATCTTAAGTTGACTGAACTTGTCAGCTCAGCTAGTTTTACATTTCAAAACTCACAACATGCAGTTTAAACAATTATACTGCAAAATGAAATTGTAGAATTATTCAACCAAACTCATAATTTTTAAGGCAGCAGGGGGAACTTGAGTTTCTAAGCTGAACAACCTTGAAAAGCAGTTGTGAAGCTGAGCCGGGGCTGCAATCAGCCTGTAATCAGTCGTGTACACAGAAAAAGGTGGGGAGTTGTTTATCTGTTCATGCAGCTCGAACAGATCCAGGAAGATGGTTCAGAAATTCCAAATATGTTTTTGTGGAATGTATTCATATGTGAAGGAGGTAGAGTCAGTGGTGTTTTGTCACCTGTGAAGCAAAACTATCACACATCGCTCTCCATGTGGTATTCTTGATGCTCACATCTCTCCTCAGTGGAGCCAGTGACCTTGGAGTCATCTACCTCCACCATAATCTCAGATAAAGTGTTGGAAGGCCATTACATGGGGCAGCAGTAATCTGCCTTCTTTCCCTCTCTAAGTATGAGGCTGATAGGCCAAATCTAATTAAAACCACCACACTGATCCCTATGTGTGTGTGTGTGTGTGTGTGTGTGCTGCAATAGACGAGTGTCCGTGTGTGCACAGCTTGCAAGCATTTAACACTTAATGTGTGTTCAGTTTGCTTACAACGGTGTCCACAAGGATACGCATGACCTTGCATGCATGAAAGTGAAAATGTGTGCGCTCGTGAGCTTGTATGTGGGTGCGAGAGCATATCTTGTACACTCACAGTCTGACGTGCAATTAGCACGAGCTGCCAATCACAGTTGAGTACGCTTTCAACAGAAAATGAATTAATGAAGAAATAAATAAAAAATTTAAGCCACCAAGAGCTGGAGTTAATTGGTTATTACACTGGCGAGATAGAAGCATGAGAGACGGCGGGATGTGAACTGTGAACGACTGGTAAAAAGAAAAATGGACCTGGAACAGGGAGTAAACAATAAATTGTAAGCCTCACTGCATTGTTACACAGTAATATGCATATTTGCACTATTTATGTACTATCGAGTAACAAGTGGTTACAGAGGCAGAAAAAACGATGGACAGGCAGAATGAAAAACTGACAGATGAACAATTATAGTCACTGACAGAGTGCAGGGAAGACAGAAATATAACCACACAGTGCATAAAAACACTGAGTAAACACAATGTGTATCTTTATGGACACACTGTATAATGATAATAGGCCTGTAAAGTTAAGTAAAGACATTAAACATCAGATTAATGGGGGGAAAAAAATAGTGAATGAAAAACAGTAAGTATTTATAACTACTGTTTAATGTGCATGGCGTGATTCATATCATCATCATCCATCCATTATTTATACACCACTTAATCCTCACTAGGGTCGCGGGGGGCTGGAGTCTATCCCAGCTGACTCAGGGTGAAGGCAGGGGACACCCTGGACAGGTCACCAGTCTATCACAGGGCTACACTTAGAGACAGACAACCAAGCACACTCACATTCACACCTACGGACAATTTAGAATCACCAATCAACCTCAACAAGTTTTTGGACTGTGTGTGAGGAAGCCGGAGAACCCGGAGAGAACCCACACTGCACGGGGAGAACATGCAAACTCCACGCAGAAAGATTCCGGTGCCCCCACCGGGACGCGAACCGGCAACCTTCTTGCTGCGAGGCAACAGTGCTTCATATCATCATACTGCAGGTAAATAATTGATTATATCTGTTCAGAATGTGTCTTTTAATTTGATGGTTTCTTTCACCATAACTCCTGATTTTAGGTCTGCTCTGAACAGGCTGTTTCAGTGTCTTTAAAGCTTTAAATGCAGCTGAGATGCTGCTGACCACACCCCCATTCAGGAAGAAGACTCTGGCTGTGTCTGAAATCACCCACTATACCCTACATAGTGCACTATATACGGTGTTTGCCATTTTGTAGTGCTGTCCAAATGTTAAGTTACAAATGTTATACCCTATATAGTGCACTCAAAATATCCCACAATGCACCATGAAAAGTAGTGTACAGCCGATGGTCACCAACCGACCATCATGCATTGTGCGAAAGGAAATCCAACTAGACGATTGAGAGCGCGAAAACTTGTCATTAAGATGTAAATAATTTCCTGTTTATGTTTTGTTAAATTTTATTTTACCCATTTCTTTGCTATGCAATAAACTGTGAATATAACTTGTTTGCACTACGGTGCTATGGCACAAATCGCAGCTAGCGAGTGACGTAATTATTAGCTTGAGTAGTGTCCGAAACGTTGCTTTGCTGAGGTGCTCCCTACATAGTTCACTACATAGTTCACTATATACAGTAGTGGTCCCTATATAGTGAGTAGGGGGTGAGTGGATGATTTCGGACACATTTCTTACAACTCTCTCGCTGGGTGATCATTGAGCATGGAAATATCACCACATCTACAGCACAGCTGTTGTTTTTATGTGTTTGGTAAGCTTGTCAGACAATATTGCAGGTATAAAATTAATATTTTAGTGACCCAGAGGCGCAGCTTGGAAATGGCTATGAAGTAGGTTTCAGTGACTCTCTCAGTTATATGACAACAAAAATAGAAAAAAAAAAGTAAATTAGACAATCTACTATTTTTTCATCAAAGTATGTTAAAAGCACCTGTTTACACATTTGGAAAGCTTGTTTTCTTGGTTAGATTATGAGAAAGTCAGTGGTGACAGATGGCTGGAAGTATTTTGGTCGTCTAATCCTGATACAGGATGTCATATACAAACCCTAGTGTTTGGGGTTAAAGTTTAATGCTGTGTACACACACCATCCACGTCCCCGATAGCCGTGCAGTTCTATAAATGGCCGCCTGTGCATGTCCACACATATTTGGCATCGTTTAGTGCGTTTGTGTGGGTGTGTGTGTTGTGCTGAGGTGGCACAGGAGGTCAGCTTGTGTTAAATGACCAGCGAGCAGAGCCAGTGTTGATGGCTCCCTTAGCAAGACCCTGGAGTAGAGGCTAAATATAAAAGAACACACACACAAACAGAGTCAATAAATTAAACTGGCACAACGGCTAAAGTCTCCCGGTGCAGAGGGGACATCGAAAATAAGGCCACCAGTGAGGAGGTCGTTTCATTCTTTTGTGCTTCTCTTTCACACAGACGCACACGTACACACACAATAGGCAGCGGCATGCTTTTGTAATAGATGTGTGAAGCAGATATAATGTACACAATGGGGGCAAAAAAAAAGAAAGCAAGTAAGAGAGCGAGAGACCAAAGTAGTGACGCACAAAAGCACACACATACACATCAGAAAAGCAAAGAGAGCAGGGTGAAGGAAGGACATACACACAGAAAGGTTGTCAACGGGGCACAGAAATTGTAATTAAAGGGCCAGATTAATTGGTATAATGGACTCAGGTGGCACAGGTGGAGAGGGAAGGATGGAGGGATGACGGCGGACAAGAGGGAGGACAGGAAAAGGAGAGGACGAAAGGCAAAGGGGATGAAAGAGGATGAATTGATTTTTAATAATGTTATGAGCTGGAAACCCTTTTCATTCCAACCAAGCGTGGCTATTAATAATAGAGCTGGGGAGATCAAATGGCTGTGCTTGAGCGTGCGTGTGTGTGTGTGTGTGTCTCATTCTTTCACATATATGTGTGTGTTTGTTTTGTGCGTCTGGGTGCACAGACAACAAAAGGACTGGAGGCGGGAGGTGAGGAGAGGAAAACAGCCAGTTACGTAGGGCTGGTGTTTGCGTTCGTCTGAGAGCTACCTCTTAATTTAAAATTCACACCTACTTAAAAAAGCATAATTGCGGTCTATTAAAGCTCGACTTTTTGGTAGTTTAGCCATTATTCTTATTGGTAATAATAGCCTAGAGTACTCGCTGAATGAGTGCCTCTTCTGGTTGAAGTTTTTCAGCTTGTTTCTGCCTCTGAAAACACCCACGGATGGGCGCCCTGAGACTGAATTCACATTTTATACCCATCGTCTCAGTCTCCCTCATCTGTGTCTACTTCAGGTGACGGATGATTACACAAAATACTCCAGAGAACAAATTTGATCTCATTTTCATAGCTGTTGATGTTGTACACCACTTATTCTGAAACTTGTCCTCAAACACAATACCTTGGTGATGAATTGTGAGCCACTAAATCTTAATGGTAAACATCTAAACAAAACAATCTAGAAGGAAACATTCTTCTAGCTGTTATTTTTTTTAGCTTGTGTTATGTGTTTATAATACCGAGGAGGGGCAACGGAGCCCAAGAAATCTCTCTGTTCATCCACTGAAACCCTGATGTCCAAGTAATGCAACAAAGATGTTCCCTGTGCAAGTGAAAGCAGCATTAAATGGCCCAACAGCTACTGTCTGTGTAGCTGCAGCCAGTCAGCTCTGTTGCCTGTAACTCTATTCAAATATGTCGCAGCTAAAATTTAGTTTGGTGCTTCCAGCTGTTTGTGGAAGTCTTTTTTTTCCAATTTTATTAAATACCTGCAACATCAAACAGCAGCAGGATCCAAAGGTGGGAGAACTGCATGCAATTTTTTCAGAGACAACTGCTGAATCACAGTGCAAGTCTTATTTTTCATTTTTATGACAGCATTGTATTTACAGCAGTGGCATTATTGCATATATGTGTTACAAAACGTGGCCTCTCTTTTTATTTACGATGGCAACGATTAGCCAAGTAGCAATGAAAATACATTTAATTTTACCACATGTTGCAGTAGTTAGATTGTTTATCATCAAACATGGACAGAATTTTCGGTGTTAAAATACACTGTGGATGTTTTGCCTGAAGGTGAACTTTTTTTTTTGTTCAAAGACTCTGCAGCATCTTTAGATAGACCGTACCTGTATTCGTCTATGCACACTAGACACAAGCTGTCAAACAATAACCTGAAGCATACAATTCCTTAAGCCTCATTTTGTTTTTAAGTAGCCTTGATACAAAAAGAGCAAAACTGAATTCCTGAAATTTGTCAGTGGTCTCATCTGGCCACCTGGATGAAGAATTTCTGGAGGCACCAAGTAACTGATCCAGAAAGCTGTACTATTGCAGCGGCTTTGGACCTCATTTGAAGTATTGAAAGTGAAAATATTTGATTTAAACTGACCGTGGAAAACAAGATTGCTGTTTATCAGAACAAATGTCAGTGTTCTCTTTAATGTCTCACTCTTTTCTGGTTTCTTGCATGCATACAGATGCACTCGGTGTCGCACACGAACGTACACATTGATGCAGACAAAGAGACAGACAAAGCAAGAAAAACATGAACACAGATTATAGCTTTCTTGCTCAGAGATGGTATTTGGGTTCTCCTTCCCTCTGTCTCTCTCGCAAACACACAAACACATAATTACAGTTCTTATCGACAAATGTCAAACACTCATCAGTAAGATAAAATAGAGTGAGAGGCAGTACAGAACATTTTGTGTGTTTTTTTTTATCCTTTCT